ATCTTTTGCTCTCTCTCTCCTCTTCTTATCTCCACTCTCTCTCCTATCTACTTTTATTCACATTTTGTTGAGTATCTTCAATTAATTTATATTTTTTTTAAATCCCCCCGCAAAGTGTAATATTTTGCTTGTCTTTATATATTAACTGAAAATATAACGTTATTACGTTACTAGACCACACGCGTTCGTGGTTAGATCAATTCAAAAGGCATGTATTAAGCGAACGAAAAGGAAAATGGACGTAAATTAGGATTACTGATAGTTGAGGATTGCTGATTTTACAAGTACTAAGGAGTGACAAAATAACTCTTATTCTATCCCCGCTTTCGGGGCTAAACAAAGGTAGGGCACATGATTTCATCATCAAGGTAAAACCTCTCCCATTACGTTAAAGTAGAAAATAAGTAAAGCATATTTATCCTTATGTTAAACCGAACAAATATCACATTTACTTAAAGGTGAAATGATAAATAGGATTAAAGCACACCAAATAATTGTTTGGCCTTTGCATAAATTAAAAATAAATTAAATGAATTAAAGTTGAAATGGCTACACGAAACTGTAAGTTCGATGCTAATAGTTTTTTTCTATCGCACTTCGTTGATGGGACTCTCTTCCAGTTTTTTTGCTTCCCAGTCAACTTTAATCTTCAAAAATTTAAATGCAATGTCAATCGTTATTTTCTGTCTTAATTCCTGTTCTTTTATTGTTCGAGAGAGAAAATAAAAGAATAGGAATTAAGTGTGTGTGTGTTTTTTTTCTCATATTTTGTAACACTCAGTAACCCATTTTGACTTGGTGGCTTTATTGATTTGCTTTGGATGAAATGATTTAAAATAAAGACCAAATTTGGACACATGGGAATTGTATGAAAGAGAATGTCATATATATTGATATCCACGAAACTTAATTTTAAAAATGTAACTTAAAATTCAAATATTACAGTATTAGATTAGTGGCAATGTCGCATCATTTGACAGTTGAAATTGCTAGATGCAATCGTAAGTTATATGCTAAGAATTTCTTCACTCGAACTTCTCACTTATTGAACTCTCTTTCTTCTTCTTGCTTACCAGTCAAATTTGATGTTCAAAAATTTAAATGCAATGTCAATCGCTACCTTTTGTCTTCTTAATTCATGTTCTTTTATTGTTCTCTCTCTCTCTTTAATAGGGATTTTTCTCTTATATTCTTTCACACTTAGTAACCCCTTGCGTCTTAGCAGTTTTATTGCCTTGCTTGGGATGAAATGATTATAAAAAATTATCGATTCGCTAAGATTATCGCCAGAAATTTGTGGCAAGTTTTCTATTGCTTCAGTAGGTGTCACGTGATTTACTAAGTTTAGCTATTTTCCTTAACCTTCTTTGGTGCAAATTGATTTTCTCACTCATTTCTGTTTATCCATGATTATGTTTAATAAAAATATGATGAAAAATATTTTCAAGAAAAAGAAAAGAAAATTTGGAAGCTAAACTGATGACACGGGACAAGTACAATATAAAGACTTGAGTTGAATCCAGTTGAGGACGATTCCAGCAACGTTTACGCATGCGTAATCTACTCGCGATTCTTCAAGTAAATTTCAACTGATTAAGGTGAATTTCATTTTCTTCAGAAAAGTCGTTTGTTATTCAATTTGTTCATTTAGCGAACCGTTCTGATATGTGAACTCCGCTGTAGTTTATTTTAACGTATAAATTAATAATTCCAGAACTAATATACATAATAAAATCTGACAGAGTGCAAATCAATGTCTTTGACAATAAGATTGGTTTCAATTACACTATTTACATTGTTCGAACTGTTGTCTTCATCTTTATTGCCATATTCACGACGTTTCGGTCGTTGTACACTCCGGCCTTCTTTGGTTGATATTTCTTGGAATTTCGAATAAGTTATCTCACAAATATAGACAAATGAAGATTGGTTTTAGCCAGCCGAAAATTAGGATATATATACAATGTATATATTTTTTCTTTTTAGAAATATTTACAATAACTTGTTTGACGGGTGAAATATATTATGTAACTCGAAGTTTGTTTATCATTTTCTGAATAAATATATATAATTGTTATTCATATTCATCTGTTACACTCCTTCCCTCACACACACACACACACGCGCGCGCGTGTGTGTGTGTGTGATTCTTGACAAAATTAAAAAAAGACACTCCAATATCTGTCTATATTTCTGAGATGAGGTATTATGTACACTATTTATAATATTCGGACTATTGTCCTCATCTTTGTCGCCATATTTATTACAACGTTTCGGCCGTTGTACGCTCCGGCCTTCTTCAGTTAGTTGGAATGTCGAACTGAACCCTTTATTTCGCTCACTGGGGTAGACTGTTCTAGTTCCACGTGCCATGTTTTAATGGATGTCAGTTGTCAGTTATTTCCTGTTAATTAAGTTCTCCACTGCCTTAACCGGGTATTGAACTCACAATCTTTGGGTCCTGTCACTGGATCTAACGAACGCCTTTATCCACTGTGCCATGTGTCCTTGGAGAACTTTCAGAGGGAAATTAACAGGAGATAACTAATAACTGACATCCATTAAACATGGCACGTGGAACTAGAACCGTCTACCCCAGTGAAAGAAATAAAGGTTCAATTTGACATTCCAACCCCCTGAAGAAGGCCAGGGCGTACAACGTCCGAAACGTTGTAATAAATATGGCGACAAAGATGAGGACAATAGTCCGAATAATGTAAATAGTGACTGCAATGTTAACGGTCCTGACCTGGCATCACGACTTCAATCACTTTCACACCACCATGATGTGGCTTCGCCCTGTTCTCTCTATAAATATTTTCATGGAAATGATTCTGATGAACTCTCCTCCTTGATACATCGACTGCAGGAATTTAAGCATATTGGGCATCTAGGTCTGATCGATTGAATTTTGAAATAGCAACAGATGTAACCCTAAGTTCTATTCTAATCGTTTCTTTTCTAGTCCGTGGAATCCCCTTCCTGTTTATTTTTTCCCTGTAACCGACGTTCTAAACAAGATATTGTAAAATTATTGGAAACACAGCGTTGGGTATTTTTGAAAATGTTCAACTGAAAGGGTATAATAATCAAATAAAAAATTGCAAATATTGGCAAATATATGAACAAAGAAAATTGGCTTTCACAATGTCACAAAAAGAAATTTAAAGAAAATGAACATGTTAGAAGCAAGAAAAATGATTGACCAACAAAAAAATATTTGACGTGGGTATTGCAAATGTAAACAGAGAGAAAAGATACAGAATACGAACAATGAGAAAAAAAAATGCTTTGACCCACTCGGGTCCCGTTTTTGGTCCTGTTAACGCATACTGATGTCGCTATTGAAGAATCTTCGTGTAGATAATACGCCACATATCTTCAAGAATGTTTTGTTCATTTTTAGAAATTCATTTTAAACTAAAAAAATTCTAATTAAAAAAAATGGGGCGAAGGACAAAAATTAAATTAAAAACTATATATCTGATGATACGTTGCTCTTAGTAGGACTAGAAATAAAACTCGGAAATTAAAGATTGAATCTACAGATTGTCAAGGATTACTCAAACCTTTCAAAGTTTAGACAAAAAATATTGTGCTTTGGGAACTTTTGCAGTAAACATAATTTTGGTTGTAAATATGTAACATTTATGAGGATAATATACGAATATCTTTCCTTAGATGTTTATAAATTGTACACTGTTCATTTATTAAATGATAATAACGAAATATTTTAAATTACAAAATTTGTACTTGGATTAAACGAAAATTACTTACAGTATAATACATATTATATTCTTTCTTGCCGTCAATTTTGACGGTAATGGTGTACTATTATAAAGATAATCCTGCAATTTCTAAAGAATTAATGGCTTTATTTTTAATCCATTTTTATTTCTTTAGGCTTTATAATAGTGGATACTCGTATTTGAAATAGACGCCTCGTTTTTATTTGAAACAGTGTGTATGACGAGTATCAGCCTGTGTATCAAAGAAATCTTGAAGAAAATAGACCTGCTCCCCCCCGTTCCTCTTGTAGGAGAAACAAGCGTGTGATCTGGCGTGCTTTTCTACTTTGTGGTTTTAGAAAGGGGGACGCAGGTTCGATCCCTGCCGAAGAATAATTTTTTTATTAAGATTTTTCGTATGCGCAAACCCATAGACGTCATAAACACTGTTTAAAATAAAATAGGGCGTCTATTTCAAATACGAGTATCCACTATAATAACGTTTGAAATAATAAAGATAATACATTATATGATATAATTTTATGAGAGTATCTAAGTTAAATAATAATCTATTTACGTGAATGCGAGCTATCATCATTACTATGTTTCTTGGAACTGTAACTAAGCTTCGTTTCGCATCGTCTATGTGCCGCGTCCCTTCAGGATGTGGTGATCATGGCTCTCCATAACTTCCTATCTTCTGTAGCTCTTAGTAAGATTTGTCTTTTTACAATCCCTTCATTTCGCCATTCATTCGTATAAGTTCGTCAGGTCGGTAATCAGTTACTTCCCTACTGTACATCATTTGGCCTGGGATATGTCATCCTGTGTCTGTGTGTGTGCGCATGCGCATGCGCGTGTTCGACGTGGTGTAATGGTTAGCAAGATTGTCTTGCTAGAACAATTACAGTTGACGAGTGAGTTCGGCCCTCACTGGGTGCTCACACTTTCGGCCTTGTATGACGTCTAAGCTATGCTTAGAAAATCACCATAAATTGTAGCATTTTATCGATTTAAGCGATTTTTTTCTAATCTTTAGAACAATACCACAACATATTTTAAATATAATTTACATATGAATCATATATAATAAGGAAATTTATTTTTATTTTCTTATGTTTGTTAAATGGTTTCATTAAAATAACTCATCATGTCCCAAAAGAATTCATAACTATATATTTAATTTTATGTTAAAATATGAAAATGTCGTTGAATTGAGTTTTTACTTTTTTATTTATTTATTTTTTTAGACGTTTATAAACGGCTGAAGTCTTATGGCCATATCACGTTGAAACATTGGTTCCCATACGATCACCGAAGTTAAGCAACGTCGAACCTAGAAGGGTGACCGCTTGTGAATACCAGGTGCTGTAAACTTGGATGTGCGGGTGGTGTAATGGAGAATTGTTAATCGGAGAGCCGAGTTCCAATTCCCGTTGTGTTTGTTACATTTACCTACGCGCAAATTCTTTTGGAAAAAAGGAGAATCCATCGCCTTTCCCCCAGTTGTCGGTTAATTAGTAAAACTTGCAACATTTAATCATTATTATCTAAAAAAAAAAAATCTTACAATCTAAAATATCAATATAAGGTTTAAAAGCCACTCAAGTTAGAGGCGTGATATGAATGGAAGAGAAGAAGGAACGATGACAACTGATTCTTGACTTCAAGAAGTCAAGATTAAAGTGTTCAGGAAAGTACTCATGGGGGAGTCTGTTCTATAAATTAGCAGTTCTTGAGGAAATAACTGTCTTGAGTGAATCTTACATTTAGAATACGGCGGGTGGGGGATGAATTTATTCTGTGGATATAGGATGGCGTGTTCCAGTTTTAAAGTTCCGAAGTAACGGAAATAAAGAATGGAGTTTATCTGGATATTTGTCATGTAAATAGTAATAGAAAAGCAATAGTCTTGCGACATTGCGTCTGTAGAGAAAGAAACTGCAGAGTGGGAAATCAGTGTCGCCCCGCTCCTCACAAAACCATGTAAACGATTGTTTTTTTTTTGTTTTGTTTTTTATCTCTATCAAGTCTGGGATGTGAAAACTGTGTCTCTCCAATCCATTTGAATCTGGGCGGGAAATAACGAAGCGGAAATGAAGACAAAATCAAATAAATGTAATATAATTCTGTTTGTCCCATCGTTCCGTAGGGCGTCCGTTACGTCTTGTTAATACTTTATGATATATTATTTTGATCACGCGGAAAGACGTGAAAGAAAATTCAGAGACGTTAATTGGTTTCAGAGAAAGAAAGAAATGATAACAGGGTTGAAAACGCTCTCATGTGTTTCAGTCTATTTCAGTGAAATAAGAAAACTTGTCAGTTTCAAATCTTTTCATTTGTACACTCTTACTTCTCTAAATAATGACCCCCCCTTTTTATACATATGATTGTTATTGCGATATTTTGTTAAAGTTAAGGACAAACAGTGGAACTTCCACAGATATTTTATGGACGTCGAACTCTCAAGGAACTTATTCTATCATTTAGAATTATGATTCCTCAAAACATTCAAGTAGCAACATCGTTAAATTTTAACGGATACTACAAATAAAACTCTGTGTGTGTGTCTGTGTGTCTGTGTGTTTGTGTGTGTGAGAGATAGTGATATCCGCAGATTAATTTACACTTTACAATGATACTAACAATTCGGATATGCTTGGTGTTTTCTTTACGTGAAAAAGACGAATGTTGTTGATATCATAAACAAAGAAAAAACTTATTGTCAGGTACTGCAATAAGAATAACCGGTTTTGAGAGGAATTTAGTCATAAAATTTCATTTTAGAATGATAAAATAAAAATTTAATGTTCATCCTTTTTATCTAATTTCATGGTCTTCCAATAAACCAGTTCGAAATTTTCGTTTTCATGTAAATATGGATACTGCCATATTATTTTTTTAAAAATTCCTACATATTATCTCAATTCGCGAGTTTCATTTTATATCTGCTGATAATGGCATTTAACAATTAGTAAATGCAGTAAATATGTCTTTAATTGATAAGTTACTTTCAAAAAAACAAAATCAATAATGTAATCGATTCTGACCTGGCATCTCGACTTCAGTCACTTTTCGAAACAACTAAACGTGGCTTCCGTCTGTCTTTTCTACAAATATTTTCATGGCAATTCTTCTGGGCTTTCTTCCTTGCTACCTCGTCTACATGAGTTTAAGATTGGCAACTAGGACTCGCTGTTTTACTGCTGAACTAGCTATATGCAACCGTAAGTTCTATTCTGAGTGTTTCTTTTCTCGCACTTCTCGTCTGTGGAAGTCTCTTCCCAATTCCTTCTTCTCTGGCACCTACGTTCTTCAAACACTGAAATGTCACGCCAATAGCAATATTCTGTTATCCTGGACTCCGTTCTTTTATTGTCATTTGTGCTCACTAAAGTTTTCTCATTCTTTTTCATTCCTCTTGCGTCTTAGTGGCATTATCGCCTTGTTCGGGGTGAAATGATTTTTTTTAAAAGTAAAGGAAATTAAGTTGAGTAAGTCGAATGTCATGTAATGTTCTGGAAAGAAATTTTCGTAAGTTTACCTAGAAGAGGAAATGGACGTGGGTGTATTTGAGTGTAGAAATCAGTTTTCAACACTGATTAGCCATATTTAGACAAGCATAACATAATCCTATGCAGAACATCTCATCGAAATACGCAGATATGCCCTTGGTAAATTGTAAATTTACAACAATATGTATTTGTTAATATCTAAACCCATTTAAATCTATCTACTATCTCGGTCCGTTCTTATATATATATATATATATATATATATATATATATATATATATATATATATATATATATATAAAATATATATATATATATATATATAATATATATATATAATATATAAAATATATATAATATATGTATATATATGTATATATATATATGATATATATATAATATATAATTATAAATAATATATGTATAATATATATATAATATATATATATAATATATATATATATAATATACATATATAATATAGATATATATATAATATATATATTATATATATTATATTATATATATATAATATATATATTATATAATATATATATATATATATATATATATATATATTAATTATAATTATGTATATTTAGGCATCAATTTTTCATTAATGCATATTTCATTAAATAATATAGACGAGTTTTGTATATTTAAAATTCTTGAAGCTATATACATAAAACAGTTGAAACCTAACTAATTTCTCTAGTTCACTGCTACCAGAAAGCAGAATTTTTTTTCTCCTGATGATGGCCATGTAGGCCGAAACTAGTCGAGGAATAAATATGAAATGAAATAATAATAAAAACGAAAGAATATTAATATACAACCCAGTGTGTCTGAAGAGATTAATTTTTAATATTTTTATCGTTCAAAATATAATATATATATATATATTTATATATATATTATATATAATATATATATTATATATAATATATATATTATATATATCCATCTATTCTTCACATGCAATATGTTTATACCTATTAGACTACACGTGTTAATGTCTCTTGTCATTTATCGAGGTCTTGAAATACAAACCAACCTTTCGAATACTAATTTTTCTATCAGTCTTTTGGTTCGGAAGAAAGTATGATTTTACACTTATAATATACATTTAATTTTCTTTCCTCACCGCCCAAGTTTTATGACATCACATATTTTTTAATCTAAATAATTTATTGTTTTTTTTTACCGCAGCAAATTCCACATCTGTCGAGTCTGCTTACATTATCTCAGAATCTTTCTTTTGTTTTTTTTCCAAAGACATAAAAACCTTTTAAATTTCCAAAGCTTGTTTCGATATCGACAATATACATTGGTATGATTTTATATGCATCAATATAAAGAATTACTGGTCACTATTCGGTGTTATGTTTTATTTTATTTTTATTATTCAAAGATGAAAAGGCAGATTATAAAATTATATATATATTTTTTTTTATTTTCACCTTTATCTGTCTTTTCTATTTTACAAACTTTTTTCTCAGCCCAATAGTTTATCAACTTTCCTTGAAAAAAGTCTTTTGGTTCGCAAGCAATATGATTTTACACTTGTACATTTTAATGTTCTTTCCTCACCAGCCCAAGGTTTATGACAACACATATTTTAAATCTTTTTTTTTTCTGCCTCAGCAAATTCTAGATCTCTCGAGTCTGATTGCATTATCTCAGAAACTTTTTTTTTTCAAAGATACAAAAACCTTTTAAATTTCCAGAGCTTGTAAATCAACCTCCAGTTCAAGAAAAATGTCCACGAAGACCAGCCTCTTTTTATGATTTCTCTTCCAAATCGAAGACACGTATTATAAATGATACACAGAGGTTTACTTTTGACGGTTTCATTTAGATGTTGCAAATCTCAGTTGGGCCGTAAAATCGTATACGTCAAGAATAACCATTAAGTACATTTCTTCACTCCCTCCGTGGAGATTTGTATCTGCAAAGAACCTCGGTCGTAATTTAATCAACTCACACCAAAGAGTGTGACAATTAACTCAAGCGCATTAAATAATATGACCCAAAAGTCAGTTTCCCTGTCTTAGGTCTCCGGTTTCGGGTTATAGATTAACCCGAGGGACAACGAGTCCAGCTCAAAAGCTAAATTTATTAAATCTAAATGCTGTTCATTTGTAAAACTTTATTCCAATGTCAACCTCGTTTCTCCGAAACTATTCATCAGAATATTAAAGGCAATGAAGACGGCTCTGTTAGCTTCGATGAATACAGTAAAATCTATGTCATCAAAACTGAATGAAAAGCATTCATTTAAATCATCCACGTCTGACACAAGGTTATACTTTTTAGAAATCTTTTACCCAGGGAAATGGGTTGGCCAAAGATTTTTTTGCTAGTTAGCTCGCATTAGGAATGTTTTATTTTAATTAACTTTATTCAAAAGGATCGTTTTTTATTTTTTTTTTTTTTTATTTATTTTTGCAACGCGTGTTGAAATTCTAGCAGTATTTAGAATTGTTGAAAATTATCGCTACCATTTTCTGTCAAGATTTACAAATTCTACGTTTCATTCAATTACGTAAACCAATCGATGAAATAGAAAAACTTAAAGATATGCAAAAAGCAAAATTGCAAATTTATTAAATAAGTATTTTTAAGCATCATATTGTTTTTAAAATAGTGGGATTATTTTGTATGTTAAATAATAAAAAAGTTTAATTTCTCCAAAAATAATTAATGAAAATTTATTGTACTATGTTACGCACTCTAGTAAAACCAACATTATTTTGTAACCCCTTAACCTTTTGAACTTATCACCAAATTTTGGTTTCGATCGGTCACTCTATGGCTATTTTAGAGCGTGTGATGGATTTACGGAAGCCATAGAAT